TAGTGTTGCAAAATTGGGGTAGAATTGGTGTGGGTCAAGGATCTTGAAGGAGATGGGTCCATCTGCAAATGCCATGCCATGCCACATGCCACGCTTGAGAGAAACAAAACTGGCCGAGGAAAAGTCAAGTGGGTTGGGAGCTCAGGCAATGGAGTTATCCCTCCGTCCATAGACTTTAGAGGCCTTAGGACGGCCACCCTCGACCAAGGTCGGAAGCTGGGTCAGAAGCTGGATGCAAATCGGGTCAAATCTATCATGAAGTACCGTTCTCAGTCTGACATTGCCAATCATTGTGGTTGCCATTTTCTACTCCTCTTAAATAGCTGGTCGATTTGTGAGTGGTAAATTTCAGGACTTTGCGGTTTCCTCGCGAGGCGGATCCTGGTTGGACTTATATAATCTTACATGCTTTCTCCTTATTTAGATTAGCATGTCATCGCTATTGTTTTCGTGTTTTCACTTCTATTTTTTCAATCCTCTCATCCTTATTTTTTCCATTACCAACAGGCCCAAACCATCTTGCCTTATTTGCATCCTATTAAGCGTTTAATAGAGGGAAAAAATCTTCTATTAGCATTGCTTAGTGGCTAATAATTCTTATCAAATGACTAATAGTGCTGTATGCAAAAATGGCGACCCCCGGTGGGTGTGACCCCTAGGGGGTCGAGCCTTCCATGATTATATATTAGATGAACTCAACCCTGAAAGGATATATGGAAGGAACCGAACTCGATCTCGAACTCGAACTGGAACAGTTAGAAGTCAACCCGGTGGACGAATAGAAGGAGTCGAGCTCCAAAATCGCTGTCGTCGATTCGAATTCGATCTCGAACTCGAACTGGTCTCTCCCAACAGGTGTCAAAATTGTCGTCGATTTGAATTCGAATTCGAACTAATGCTACGTTGTAATGGCTCCTTCCAATTCTAAATTTCACCCTTGAATGGCCCACAACAGGAATGCTGCGTTGTAATGGCTCCTTCCTGCTCTAAGTTTTTTCCCTCGGGTGGCCCACAAACGGAATGCTACGTTGTAATGGCTCCTTCCTACTTTAAATTTTACCATCGGGTGGCTCTCAACAAGAAATGCTTCGTTGTAATGGCTCCTTCCTTCTCTAAATTTTACCTCTTCCTTTTCTAAATTTCACTCTCGAATGGCCCACAGCAGGAATGCTGCGTTGTAATGGCTCCTTCCTGCTCTAAGTTTTACCCTCGGGTGGCCCGCAACAGGAATGCTACGTTGTAGTGGCTCCTTCCTACTCTAAACTTTACCATCGGGTGGCTTACAAAAAGAATGGCTTGGTTGTAATGGCTCCTTCCTTCCTGTTGTTGGGCATGCTACGTTGCAATGGCTTCTTCCTTTTCTACAATTTACCTTCGAATTGCCCACGAAAGGAATGCTACGTTGCAATGGCTTCTTCCTACTCTAAACTGTCCCTTCGTGTGACCCACAAATTGCATGCCACGTTGCAATGGCTTCTTCCTTTTTGTAGATGTATTTCGAATGGCCAACAAAAGGAATGCTACGTTGCAATGGCTTGGTTGGTTGGTTGGTTAGCAGGTTTTTTGCCGCAGGGAGTTCACACTAAAAAGTTGATTCCGTGGCAGGCGCGGGTTTTGGAGATGAAGTGCAGATTTCGTGGCGCGGGGGGGGTTGGGGGGGCGCAGCGCCTCTCCCAGCAGGACACAAGATCCCAATAAAACAAGTGTTTGCTGCAAAGATGAGACTGCGCAGAGCGGATACTTTCAACAGGTTGATTGCTTTGTTGCTGGCTTGGTTGGTTCCTGTTCTTCTTTGTTGTGGGTCGTGGCGATTGCGGTTGTGGTTGTTGTCGTTGCTGTTGGTTCTCGTTGCTGTTGTTGTGGGTCGATCCGAACTCAATCACGAACTGGTTCACCCCCCTTTAGAAGTCCCTTTTAGTCGCCGATCCGAACTCGAACTCGAACTGGTCCACCCCCGGCTCTATAATTGTTGTCGATCTGAACTCGAACTCGAACTGGTCCACCCCCCGGCTCTATAATAATAATTGTTGTCGAACTCGAACTTGAACTTACTGGTCCACCGGTGCCCCCAGCTCTATGATTTTTGTCGATCCGAACTCGAACCCCCCCGGCTCTGTAATTGTTGTCGATCCGAACTCGAACTTGAACTGGTACACCCCCCTCTCGCTCGATCCACGCAATCTCGTGCACCGAGCTCGAACCCGAACTCGAAATTGAACGGGATCAGTTAGAACCACCTGGGGCACGGCCTGATCCGGATGGACGTTGCTACCATCCAGCTCATCTAAAAAGCAGACTTCCATCGTTGACAAACAGAGTCGCTACATACATGTGGCGACAAAAGGATGATGTCAACTGTAAAAAATTCTATGTGGCGCACGGCGCAATAGGGTATACCTGCTACCATATTTAAAGGCTTACGCCTAACAGCCGGGCGCCGGCCCACTTGGGTCTGTGTAGGGCTGGGTCGGGTGCACGTTAAGCTATCGGGGGCGTACTGGGCCCTGGGTGGTGCCAAGGTGGGAAACTGGTCCGCGTCGGAGATGGGGGCCCTATATTGAGCAAAGTTAAGCTATTTGGTGCGCATCTTGGCCCTAGGTTGGGCCAAGTTGGGCCCATGTGATCTATGTTGGGCACATCTTGGGCCCATGTTGAGCCTATGTTGAGCCTATGTCGGCCTATGTTAGGCCTATGTTGGCCTATGTTGGGCCTATGTTGGCCCCATGTTGGCCTAATGTTGAGCCATGTTGGGCATATGTTGGGGATATGTTGGCTATCTTGGGCCTATGTTGAGGATATGTTAGGCAATGTAAGTCGTCTGGAGGGCCTCTACTCACAAAATGTCGATTAAGCCTGTCCGCCCGGTGCGCATTACCGACACCACCCTTGAAAAACACAGCATTTTTGCATTTTTCCCTTTTCCCCCCGTCGTACTTCGATATGCGCAATAAACCCTGTAAAACACAGTGTTTTTTATACCTCACACACACGAAACCCTGTAAATTACGTTGATATCAGTGACTCGGTGGTCCCCCCGTTTTGGTGACGAGGGTCGGCGGCAGGGGGCGCGCCCGTATATAACCTTCGGTTACCACCGAAGGCCCTCCGGGCATGCCACGGGCATCCTGGCCGGCGCCCGGATTTACCAGGCTACCGCCTGCAGCCGCCGACCCCAAGGGAAAATGTAGTGGCAGGGTTGGGTCCCGGGATGGTCGCGGGCAGGGCCTACGAGTGGAATTGGTTTTTCATAGAAGTGGGTACGTTTTCCGCTGGATTTGTAGGATGTCAAAGGTTGTTTTGGGTTCCCAGGTTTGCCGAGAAAATTGCTAACCCATTTTCTTCCATTGTTGTACTCATGCGGCCAGTGCCCGTGGTTTGTCCTAGATGTTGTAACGTCAAAGGCTTTGGTAAGATTTACGCATGCCTGTCAGGCACCCGTGTCCGCGCCGTGTGGCGTGTTGGTTCTAGGATGGAGCAGTGCAAACGGAAGCTCGGGCAGGTGGTTGCCAGGTAGACAAACCCAAAGGCATTCCTAAGAAAATCCTGGAAAAGCCTTTGAAAATCCGACAAATCCAACAGAAAATGTGACAAAATCTAGGAAAAATCAAGGGCGACAGTGGAATCAAATAGGGCACGAGTACAACAATGGAATCAAATAGCTTAGCAATAGGTTAGCAATTTTTTGAGGAAATCTGGGAACCCAAAAAACAAGAGGAAATCCCTCGAAAATCCTACAAATCCAGCGGAAAACGTGACAAAATCTAGAAAAAACCAAGAGCATTCCTGAGGAAAAGCCTTTGAACATCCTACAAATCCAACGAAAAAGGCAACAAAATCTAGGAAAAATCAAGGGCATTGGCCGGGACCACGCCGCGACCAGCCCGGGATTCGTGCCCGGGACCATTTTAGACCGTGCTTACTTTCCCGCGCGGGTGGAGAGGGTGCCCCAAGATGTAAATCAATTGGGATGGCAGAATCTTGGACAATCAGGTCGGCAAAAGGTCGAGATCTTCGTCACTGCAGCAAGGGTCCGGAGGGTAGGGGAGGTATCAGGTCTAAGGCTAAGTCTAAGGATAAGGCTAAGGCTAAGGTCTAAGGCTAAGGCCAAGGCTAAGGCTATCAATCAACAGTCACGCCTCACCCCACGAGTGGGGTCGGCGGATTGCCATCCTCTTTTGCCTGTGTGCAAACATTCCAAGTACCTATTATCAAGTTGCACAGTATGCGGGAGGCGTGGAGCGAGTACAACAAAAGCTTGGGCAAGTGCGAACTGCCGGGGTCAAGCTAGACTCAGCATAGGTATGCATAGGTGAACAATTCTTTGCTATTGTTATCATTGTTATCATTGAACTTGTCAGGGTGTATACTCGCTCCTGATGGTACATCGATTTCAGTCAACGATTGTTATGCATTTAAAGTGCTGGCACAATTTGCTCGTTTCAGCAGCCTTGCCTGCATGTCATGTCCCTTTGGATGCCCAAACAGGTACGCTGCAAGAGAAGTGCAACTCTTGGACATGAGGAAACCGAAAGACGGTTACTTTGAAGCCTGGCAAGTGTTTGTCGAACCATTGCCATGAACTGGCTTCAATATCAATATTGCCTGCGAACCAGCCAAGTCTACAAGCCCAGGAAGTCGAATGGGAAGGAAGCTTCCGCTGAGGGGAAGATCAGAGCGAACTTGAGTTTTGCTTGCCACCATTGCTTTGAATGGCAGCCAGAAATTATCGGAATCTCACACTCCAGAGCACCAGCTCCAGCCTGGCGCACCAGCCGCGCAGCAGCGGCGCAGCTTGATCATTCCCTAGGGAGAAAAAAATGTTGTTATTTTTCTTGTGTAGAAGACAGCCAAGGTGAATTTTTAGAAAGAGTGCCAATCGCAGTAGCATGAGTTTCGAAGCCAGTCCAAACACTACAGAGTCTTGCCCAAGCAAGTGATTGAGTGATCAGTTTTACATTCTTATTGTGTTTGGCAGATGTTCTTGTTTGATACATCATCAGGCACAGCTGGTCGAGTCTCAGCAAGAGGCAGAGGAAGCATGTGCTGAAATCGGCGGCTCACTGTTACCGTTACCAACAAAAAGTGACCCCATGAGTAGCAAGAGCCTTACAGGCACACTGCTCAAGTGGTTTGCATCACTTGATGGACTAGACTAGATGTTTGGAAGGCAGGCCTGCACACTCATTTCAAGCCACAGCTAGCCTGCATTTTACAGACTCACAATCCCTATTGTAGTAGGTCTACTTTGCAGCCTCCCGTTGAGAAAGTTCAAGGATTGCTGGTGAGGTTGGACCTCGTAGCGCCACGGTCTGGTGAAGTGCACTTTGTGCCTATAGAACCAGTGTTTTATCTCGCTGACAATTGCACCCCCTGTGCTTTTGGCGGACCGGTTCTTCCAAGATGTTCTGTTTGAACAAATCGGTTTTCCAGGAGCTGGTACCAGAGCTGCTAGCAGCTCGTGTCCTGGGCACGGATCCAAAGGTCCCTATCAAGTTGCTTGCTGAAAGGTTGCTGAAAGATGCACATATTTTCAACAAGCTGCATGTCAGGCTTCATAGAACCTCATGATCTATAACATCATAGATCATCATAGTATTCGTTCTTGAGGTTTGGACTGCGAGGGCGTTTCCCTCGGCCGGTGGGGGCGATTGTGCCTTTGCCAGGTCGGTGTCGTTTTGGAGATGAAATTCATGCCCTTTGTCCAGACTACGCCTACGCAAGCCAACTCTATGGAATTCATGCCACGTGCAAGCTGACTTTACAAGCTGGCACATCACAACACCTCTCAAACTCCAAGAAAAATGTTTGCAAAAAGCCACACAGCATGTTCGTCACATACGTTGTTTGACCACACTTTGAATCTTTATTGTCAGCAACTCAAACATATCACATCACAACATCATTCCAAGCTAAGAGCCTGCCACATTTATTGCCTTAATATTATGTGTATATATATATTATATAGAGCAATCATAATGTATCAACAGACATGTTAACCGGATTATCTAGCAGTGCTTGGGGTACGGTGTATTTGTCAGACATTTGGACATCAATATAATATGGTAGCACGATATCGAATAGATAAGTCTATACCGCACAGAAACCGGTATATAACTGCAGCCTTAACTTCGGTAATAGAATACAGTAGTAAAGGGCGTGTGCACAAAACGATGCAAAAGACATCAAAACACAAGATCCACTCAGCGTAAAGCCCAGTACTGTTTTTGAACTTGGAGAAACTACATGACAACCATTATGACTATAACCTCGACCCCCATTGCCCTGTGAGTAAGCCAGGTATTTGTTGAATGCTGCACATGGTTAAAGTTTTGCGGTCATAAAGGCCTACCCACACTGACAACCAGAACGATAACAACTAGTGCCACTTGACATGGAACATCATCTTGGTCTTAGCCAATTGTTGGCCACTAGTTACTAGTTATCACTAAGTGCAGCATATGTAAACATTTGGCGGGCGACGCTCTGTATGGACACAGCCACAGACGGAAACAAGGAGATTGAACATGTAACACACTGCACTTGCACAGATTGACTCGCAAATGATGGAAGCATAGACAGAAGTTGTGCAGCGGATTCACAACAATACCAAACCAGAATCAAGCCTCAATTGATTGTGGTTGCTTCTCATATTGTTGTTCCTGGTGCTTCCATTCAGGGATGTTAGGTGAACATGTTGCTAGTAAGAGAGATTGTTTTGTCCCACGAATGGCCGCTTTCAATGTATTGTAGGTGGCAACGCCAGGGCAGGCCGAGATTTATTGGATTTGCATATTTGCATAATGGATATTATTCAACAAAGTATTCTGCAGCAGGCAAAAAGAATGTGCTTTCAACGAGTTGTTTTTTCCGTGCCTTTACTCTAGAACTCTCAAGCCGCCACCAAGTGCGGCTTAATCCTCCCGCGCAACATGGATGTGACCAGAGTTGCTGCTAAGCTTGTCAATGGTGCTGCCATTGGTTTCACTGTTGTTCAGGTGGGTATAGACCTATGTGACCTCGATCTTAGAGCAAATGGAAGAGTGTTGTAGAAGTTTGTGCGCTAGTAACAGGCACAATGAGCCTTTGTTCATGAGCACCTGAGCTTATGCTTTTGTTTATTTGGTTTGCACTGGAAGGCCGGGAAGGTGCGGCGCACAAGGTCAGAAACCAAAGATGTTCAACTGCCTGCTTCATCACTCCAGAGGCAGAGCTTTGCATTCAAGATTTGACCTTGTTGAGATGGATGCGCATGCCCAGTTCCTAGCGTACTATTGTAAGCAGCAAAGTCACAGATGCCATCCCTTCATGTTGAGCCTTCAATCTTGAGAGTTTGCAACAGGCAATCCTAGATGAGGGAAACTTAAGAGGTGTTCGTAGTAGCTTCTAGCTACCAAAGCGATGCCAGGAGCTACTAGTAGCATCTTTGCTCCTGGATCTCCAAGTAGCGATGCCCTTTGTTCCTAGTAGCGATGCCCTATGAGAACATGAAGGATTAGCAATTCTTCAATCTCTCTTTGCAGTGATCTCCAGTGGGGTCAAATCGCAGGATTCGAAGCGACACCCCTAGCAGCGATGCCTAAGCAATACCCCAAGGGATGCCCGCGATCATGCCAGTCCACCATGTGCCCACCCACACAAATCAGTTTTGACAGCCGCACATAAGCTTGCTGAGGATTCGGATATATAATTGTTCTTACAGTATATCAGAATATCAGAACATAGCCACATAGCTTTCTTCTCGGCAGATGGCAGAGGCCCTTGAAGCATCAACTCAGTTGGCGCTCCGGCCTGCGTGGGGGGGTTAGCCGAGAGACTTCGGAACAGGTGCACCGGATGATTGAATTTTTAATGAATCCACTTGTATGTAGCTTTCAAGGTGATGACATAATACGATTCATTCTATGCTTGCATGCCAAATCACAAAAACGATGCTTTGCTGGTACGTGATAAATGACCTTTTGCATTGAATGAGCACAGGTGCTTGCAGTACCCTCGACGAAGCAGGAGTCAGTGCCAGTGCCTCGTTTGCGGCAGGCCACAGCAATAGACTCACAGATGGACTTTCTGCATGGTTCTGGTAGATTCGATTTTCATATCATCAGGCAACAAGTTCCAGATCCAGATGGATGTTTCAATGTCCGTCTGTCTATGTTGGCAAACTTTGTGCTAAGTGTGAATGCGCTCGGCAGGCAAAGCACCGGCAAGCTCTAAGTGAAGTGGCAGTGTATTGCAAGGCTCCAGCTTGATCGTCGGTTGATGCGATGTTTGTTTGGCTTTGCATGTTTGCGCCACACAGTGCAGTTGAAGTGGAGAATTACTGTATATACAGTGAATTGTGATTGTTGTTTTGTGCCCCAAAAAGTATTCTTTGCTTAGCTTTCTCAGCCTGCCAGTCGCATGCAAGATACCTTTTGCCACCCACCTTCACAGAAACACCATAAACAAAGCTGCGAGTATGAATCTCAAGTACCAGCTGAGAATCTCGAGTTGAAGAATTATGAAGAATGAAGCCACTGTAGAAAGTGCGAGCCAAAACATCACCAAACCATCACACAAGATGACGGTAACTCGATTTTGAACAGTGACTTAAGCAAGGATGGGCCGGGCTGTCATTGCACGGTGTATATGGCAAGTTCGATCGAAGTCTTGGATTGGCAACCAAAAAGCTGGGAGCTGTAGGACGGTGCTCTTATATGCTCTCACTTCTAGGAGGGTTTCTTCATGTTTCTCCTTTACACTGTAGAATCCAAAGGAACCCAGCGATATCATTCTCCAGTTAGCCAACTTGCATTTTAGCTCTTCCTTGCTGGTTTGTTTTCCATGTCCTATAAATATGTATACCGCTTCCCTTTCCTGGGTGGCTTTCCTTTGCTTGACAGTGTCTATTGAAAAAGTACTGGTAGGGTGGGCGGCGCCTCGTCTGTACACGCGAAAGGTGACTCGTCTGTACACGCGAGTGAGATGCCTCGTCTGTACACGCGGATGTGCTGCCTCAACCTCACTCTCACTCTCACTCACTCTGACTCACTCTCACTCACTCACTCACTCTCACTCACTCTCTCACTCACTCTCTCTCTCTCTCACTCTCTCACTCATTCACTCACTCACGCACTGACTCACTCACTGACTCACTCACTGACTCACTCACTCACTCATTCATTCATTCATTCTTTCACTCATTCATTCATTAGCCTGGCCACATACTTACTTCTTTCTTTGCTGACTTAGTCACTCATGCCTTCACTGAGGTTGTCACACAGTCGTCACCCAATCCCTC